CATTATTTAAGCATACTTATATTCTATCTATATTATAAATTTCATCATGATTTGATCTGATCTGATCAAAATTTTAATACTTAAAGATCGACGATCAGGTGTTGCGTTCTTTTTGGGAGACGGTGTAGTTATTTAGATAACTAATAACTATCGGTAAAAATCTGACCCATGCTCTTATTAATTTAGGATCGAAGATATTGATCCAATAGCATACTGGATCTTGTGTAGACTTTTTGAAAGTGTTTGATTGAAGCGCTCCACAAACGAAAGACCTTGATGGGAATATGGACCAATCACTTGAATTGTGACATTATGCTCTTGCATTAGTCGGGAAATTTCGCTCATAAATTTACGTCCCATCGCATTGTAAAAGCTTTGGCCATGATAATGGATTATTTCGATCACTATATACTCTCCTGAATTCTTTAGCAACTTCCGAGCTATTCTTAGATGTGGGCGGAACTGAAGCCTTATTTCGGGAAGCGCTGTCTATAATGTTAAGTACTGCTTTATATTTTTTACCTCTATAGTGGTCATAAGTGAGAAATAGTATATTGCACTGGTGTACACAATTGGGGCGTGTAGTCCGCCCGTAAGAATGTATTTTGGCGAGGTTTTATTAATTTGGCATGACTCCTGATTTTCTAAAAAAACTTTTGCATTCACTTAGGCGGAATTGATGCCCCTCTTTCTTATACGCATCTCTCAATGATTTGGGATTAGAACAATACCCGGTTGGAATATATCACGCAATATAAGATTTCTGAGCCTCATCAGGATCTATCAAAATTTGTGGTTGGCACATTTTGATTCTCTTTTATAATCACAAAAAAGAATGGCATTTTGGAGGCCCCACCCAAGGCGGAGAACATGTGAAGAACATAAAGCTGAGCTGGAGGAGAACTATCATATTCGTAGTGTCTTCCGAACTAATAATAATCGCTCCGGACTGTTGATATAGTCAACTCTGAATTGGAATACTACTGCAAATTATCTCGCATACTTAAATCTAAAAGGCTCTGAATGTCCTGAACTAAAATCCGTCTACTAGCAGTATTGAGTTGTATAAGAAAATTTCTAACCGCTCAAATAATATTAGAGGCTGTTAAAGTATTCACAAAATTCTCGATATGGATATTTGGATTAAGTGAAACGAGCTGATCTATGGCTTTACTAATTTTATAAAATCTCCTCAAATTAAGATCTTTTAAATTATGACATTATCTAGCAATTTCTTCAATAGTTTTATCGGTAATTTCACAACAGCTAATATCAAATTGTTGTAGCTTTAGGCATGAATGTACAATGCCTATGATTTTTTCATCCCGAAGTGAATGGTAGTAGGAAATTTCAAGATGAGTTACATTCGAACAATAAACTGGCTTCTGCCTCACACGTACTAATTTTATGAATTTTTTCAATCGAGAGCTGTCTTTTTTACAGTAATTATAATTATCTGGGAAACGTTGTCCATTATATAAGTCGTTTCCTTTCAGCTCGATGCGTTTCCATAGAATAAAGGCACCGAGATTTACTATCGCTAAAAAATGTAAAATCTGTTCTAATATTACTGGTACAATAAAAATACCTGTATGCTCCATAGATAATCTGTATTATACTGTATGTTATATCTTCAAACGAAAAAATAACATTACGTGATCACTGCTCCGGACTAAGCCTTTTCACTATCTCATCTAACGCAAGTACTTCTAGCCCATCCGAAAAAACGTTAAATGCATTCTCAGGTGTCACTTCTCTGAGGAATAGATTTTTAAGAAGCCATTTTGGATAGTCTTTGACTAAATCACACTCTTTTAGTTTCAAATAAAATTTGTTTGCTGTACAATTGCCTTGAACTATTCTCCCAAATAAAAATTTCAGTCTTTTGGACCATTCAAGATTTGCCTCTCTTTCCCATATATCATTTATACTGCGAGAATTTTTAGGTCCCGTTCTGGAAGATACTTTAGAATGAATGATGTTAGTTCAGGCGGAAGAAGATCAAGAAAATTAGCTACGTATATTCATTTTTCATATGGTTAAAATATCTTTCAATCGAAAATACTGTATATAATTCATTACTTCAAATGACCAACAGCCTAACCTTTCTTGGTCATGCCTTTCTTCGTTGCTTATGAGAGACAGCCTTTTAATCCCTTACCTCAATTATCGTAACCGAATCAGAATCTTCGGAAGACTCGGACGAATAGGAGAAACCCTTCTATGCAAAGCGCCTTTTGGCCCTTTTTTACCAATCAGCGAGGAAACTATTTCATGAATTAAGTCGACCACAGTTTCCTACTCACACATTCGTCCAGATCTTCTAATAGTCTTTTAAAGATTTCCCATCTCTTTCCAGTCTTTTACCCTCCTTTCTAAAGTATTATCTTGAAAGTGATGATCTTCCAATTCTTTCTTTAGTGCCTCTCCCGTTTAGGTATTTGATAAACCGCTTAAGCTATTTTTTTATGTACGCCTGATAACTTCCTGCTCGCTAGATATATCGGATGAATGATTTTGATAATTGGTTTATTCCATCCTGGCCATTTTTGTAATATTTTATATACGATACATCTTGCCTCGAGCGAAAAAATAAAATTAATAACTTCAAACTCTAATCCATCTATGTGGCTAGTTTTCATCGAAGAATTTGAATTGTCTTGCCTAATCGTAAGGCTCCCCACTCTTTCTTAAATTAATTATAGTATATTTTTTCGCAGGAGTGGCATTGTTGTTAGGATTGTGGCGAAGCGCTTCGCTGGCAATGGCCTCAGCTTTCGATAAATTCTTCACACCATGGATACAACTGCGAATAAGGCCACTAATTTGCGCAATATTTAGAGAGTAATGGTTTGCCAGTTTCGGAAAGGAATTCATCCTTTTTCAAAAATGCATTAAACCATTTAGCTCCGGGTTTTCCTGGATTTCTTAATTGTCGGAAAATATTACTTCCTGAATCCATACAAGCAATTGCCTTGATGATCCTCATTCTTTTCTATTGATCTAAATATTCGAGGAATGTCTTTTTGATCCGGTTTTTTGCGTATCCAGTTACACTTCCATTAGAAATACACAAGATTTTAATTTCAGCAGGACGGATGCAGACCATTATAATTACATCGGCGGGGGCTTGTAAGTCAGGCACATTGGATACATCATACTCATCCGATCTTTCCTCAACCGATTCTAACGAAAAGTGGTCTGGATAATCGATTCCTTCATTTTCAAGTTACTCACTACGCTCCATTTGAATTTTGTTAGATAACGACTCAATTCTGGATTCAACGTAGCAGAGATTATCGCCTCTGAGGCTTCAAGCTTCCGCAATTCTCTTCGGATTATAGTGAGACGGGATGTGGAGGCAACAATATTAGGAGCCGTCTCAGCTAAGACCCTTGCTATAGCTTTTACATCTTTTTCGCTAAGAATATCCTAATAATTCGTTGAGCTATCCTTTCAACAGTCTCTTCTGGGATGATTTCAGATGACAGATGCAGATTCACCTCCCCTGCTCCTGACACGGTCCTAAAGGGACCCACTACTTCTTTGAAATTTGCTTGACTTTACTTCGACCAGTTCTCTGAAATGGTATTAATATAAATGCCTGCTCTTTGCTAAAACCATATCCTTTCTGAAAGCGCTGAAGACCCTTGTCTCTTTTCAGTTTATCCGTCAAAAGCTCGAGTTCTCTTTATTGAGTTTGTGGTCTGCAACATATTTTGTTACAATCGTGGACATGATAATATGGTTATACTCTATGAAGTAACTATTGGATTATGTTCAACTGTTAGGTTATACTACGCAGAAAAAGTTCAATTCGAAAAATTTCCTCAGAGCCATGCTTCTTCGGAAAGGGAAAATATTAGAGACGGCTCTTGACTAGATTAGGGAGCGAACAAATGATATATCTTACGCGGGGTTTCATTGAGACTACCCACTATGACCGGAAATTAGGTTTTACATCAATTTGAAATTCGCTAGAAGATAGAATAAACGAAATAAGAATAATAATTTAGAATTTTATATTACCTAGTTGTAAAGAAGAAATAGACTCTCTTATCCAAACACCTCGCTTATGCACAGCGCTTTTGGCTAAACCGGCTTCTTATTCGCTCTTTACCAAAGCATGCCATTCTCTTGGAGTATGCTTATTGTTTTTTCCATTTCTCATCGGTACCAAGTCAGGAGGATGTGGCTCCCTTATCCTCGAGAGAACGACGAATTATTTCTTCTCCTATTAATCTTTCGTGCACATATATTCTTTGGGATCATCTTTCATATCTTTTGCATAACCGCACATCCGAGCGTCAGTTTCCATCCTATCGTGAAATGTAACGGAATCGAGACTGTCCTTTTTCGTGATAGTCACGAATATGTCTGGATTCTCACCAAGTTCGACTGCCTTTTTTCTGAGGCGCTCTTCTCGCTGAGCTCTGGGGCAGATGTTACTTTATTAGGCCTGGGTAAATCACGCTTGACACTTGTTTCTTTAGGCGGTGTATTCACTACTTCACAAATAGGCTCAATGATTTAGGATGATTACTAGTCTCAGAACCATCAATTGCTGGCTCAGCTGTTTTAGAAGTCTCGGATGTGTCAGATGTGGTCCCTTCAAGATCTGTTGAGGCGACAGGAGCTTCGGCATGTTCTGCCACATAGTCGAAAAAGTCTTGAGTCGAATCGCTCTTCTTATCCACCTTCTTTTCTTCGCTAGCATTAGGTGGAGGCGTATTTTTTTCTGACTGAGGCAGGATTATTTTCAGAGAAATAGTTCCGGCACATTGAATATAGGAATGTCTGAGGCCTCATTAGCCGGCAACTCATATTAAGGAGCTTAGCTATGATCTTGGAGCGGTTAAGGACATATTGCCACTCTCTTTTTCTGCTACTTTCTCTTTTACGTTCAATATTTTTATCTGATAACTTCTTACCAAAAATGTTATTAGTTAATGGTATTTTTCCATTTTCCTACACCATTCAAGATATTTTTGTTATAATGCTTTTTTACTTAACTCAACTACACTACCCTCAGTCCAAGACGCAATATAGTCAATTATAAATCGAATGAGGTTAGGAAGCTGTTTGCTTATTATATCTACTTTTAGTTGGTAGATGGGATCGCTTGTGGACTCCAATCTGAAATATCAAGACTAAGTAGATAGGCCATAACTACGCTTGGTGCATCAGGGTGTTCCGTTACTTTGCCTAAACGCTTAAAATATGAAATATTGTCTTTGCATTGGGGGACGCATCAAAGCATACAATACGACGATCACCTATTTTATTCGAAGTGGGGCATCATGATTGCTTGTGACCATGGTTTAATACTCTTTGTGTTCATAATCTTCTGTAATAAGCGATTTAAGAACGTACTTATGACAATCCCCGCTTGACATACCCGTTTCATTCATGACTATTAATTTTCGGGTCTGGATGGCGCTGTTAAATTGGCCCAATATTTTCCCAAGTTCAGAAGTTGCGTAGAAGAGCTCTGGACCAAAAACATTTTTACCTATAAAATCCATAAGAATACTTTTTTCACAACCTGGGAGAGAATGTAATACTAGAATTGTTCCAGGTTTTTTCATGGGATATTGCACTAAATATGCCCACCAATTCTAGAAGTAATTATTAAGCTCTTCATCCCATTAGAGATTACATTCTTCGTATGCCAAAGAATAGGATTCATAATCTCAGAATTAATTGTATTAGCTGTATTAACTCTGAAGCCAGAAAGAGATCAAAGAATTTAGTTTGGGACAGTGGAACATTTGGCGGGTATGGGTGGAAATCGATATTGCGGTAAAGAATTAGACCCTTAATAACTGCCCGTTCTAATAGATTGATCAGCTTTACTGCTTTCAAAGCAAAGTCTACCTTTCGTTTCTTCCATTTGGAGCGCCCATAATCTTGTACCTGTCTGAATTAGGGACGCTAAAAAAATAGTATACACACTGCCTCGACCCAGTTTAAATAATAAAAAAAAGTAATCATGGCAATTTAAGAGATACCCAATGAGAGCTAAATTTATCTGCCAGTATATCTCTAACGAAGGGAAGGTATGCGGACTAGCTAGTATTCGAGAAGGATGCAAAATTCATTGGAAAAGGCGCCGGCGAAACCCTTGAAACAGTGCGAAAGCCCACCGTATCAATGCACAAAATGTATAATTTATATGTAGACAAGTATCATTCGAAACATATTAATAAAAGAAGAAACTAAATGCCTTAGAAAAATCTGCCCTAGGTGACCTAAATTTCGGCCCTAGGACTCAAAAAAATAGCAAATTAACTGACCTAGGTGACCTAGGAAAATCGAACTTCTTTACTTTTTATTATTATTATTATTTTATCTATACTCATAGGTATATAGATAAGCATACATATAGCAAAAGATAACAGAAAAAACCGATCTTTCCATAAAACTTTATTTTACTAGGGCACCTAGGGTACCTATAAAAGATAATATAAGAACGAGTTAAATCAAGAAAAGAACACTTTCTCCTATAACAAATTCTGCCTTAGGGAGTGGTCCAGCAAAATTTCTGCCCTGGGACACTCAAAAATTAAAAATTGGCATATACACTATCTCGCCCAATTTAAACCATGATCGGGCCTCAGAAGTGCTTACAACATCCCGCCAATATACAGTACCTGTTTTTAATTTTATTTATTACAGGGATACATTAACCAAATATCAGCGATATACTGTATTTACATTTGGGTCGGTTATAATCACGTGACTGGAGAAGCATGCGCAGTAAATTAACACTAATGTCGGCCAGTATTATTCCATAATTTCGACCAGATTTTCGGATATAATGATTCGGCACCTAAGCTAGCAAAAAACTAATTCGGAATTGGCAAACTTATAAAACCACTCAATCAATTCCCTGCCAGTACTATGGCAGTTCCGGGTCACTTATGGCACCAAGCTCGGTTTACATGCTCAAAAAAAAAAAAAATAGCCAGAATTATAGCATAGTGTCGACTGAAATTAATTGCAGATCTATTACCCAACGTGATATTTTTTACACCACTTTGTTACTTTAAGAGACCACTAAACTGGTGTAGAAGAAAAGCATCTCGGGCATCTTAACAAGCAATTAAAGAGACCCAGAAACAGGTGAACAAATGGATATTTCTTTAGTAATAAAAATTCTACAGAGCATTGAAAACAAGCAAATAGCTAGAAGATAATAAAAAATAAAAAAGATGAAGATAAAAACAGAACTATCAGCTTATAAGGATACTATCAAACTAAAGAGTTTCAATAATAATTAGATTATAAAGTTATATTATATCAAACAATATAGTAAGAATAAATCAAAACAATATCTAGAGAACCAGAAAATAGATGATTATAAAACTATTATAGTTTAGAATTATTATTGAAAGTTATACAGATGGATAAACATCACATGGGCTGTGGTCTTCTCTCCCTCATTACCACCTGAAAGTGTTATGGCTATAGAAAGAGTACTTCTTCAGAGGCAAAATTGGGTGGAAGAGCTATAGTTAAGTGTTTTTTCTTTTTTTTTCCTTTTTTCTTTTCTTGTAAATATTTTAAATATTTCCCTTTCTATTTTTCCCTTTTTTCTTTTTATTTTTATATTTTTAACACTGACTAGTTCTTGATTAGTACAAGAAATCCTTAGCATTACTTAGTGTTGAGTATCTTGGACAAGTTCTGATAGGTTAGGTCTCTTTAATAGATGGTGACAAGTCAATCGGTGAATTAAAATCCTAGATAGTACTCAATCTAATAGCAGGAAGTAATCAGAAATACACCTTTGAGTATACTTGATCAATCCCTCTTTGTTTTTAGAAGAAATTATTTATATTAGGCAGTCATATATATTTTTTTATTCTGATTAGATTAGACTTAAATTGAGTTATATAAATAGATAGTCCTTTGTACTATTTTCTCTCTAATAATCTATAAATCCTCAAACAGTACAGAAAAATTTTTATCTCAATTATTTCTAAATATGATCTTTTTTTAATAGACCAGTTTTTTTTAAAAAAAAAAAAAAGAATTATTATTAAGTTACTGTATATAAAGTTACTATTATATTATATTGTCATTATTAGTCTATAATATTATTATTAGACTATAATATTACTATTAAGATATAACATTTCTGTTAGACTATAATGTTTTTATTAGATTATAACATTATTATATAATTTATAAGTTATTGACAAGTATAATAAAAAACTAAATAAAAGAAATCAAAACTCTTTTCCACAGATTCATTTTTTCTAAAAAAAATTTTTTTTATAATAATTTTTTAAAAAAAAGAAAAGATGAATGGAGAGATGCCATCTTAAAGAGAACTTTGCAATAAAATAACCCAGTAGAGACCTAATTATAATGCAAATATCCTCACAAAAGGTAATATAAACAAGTTATACAAAGAAACAACAATGCAAGTAGCAAAGGAAAACACTATAAACAAAGAAAAAGTCAAAGAAAATAGTCAAAATGAAACCCGTAGAGAAGACTTCAATAATCAATACTTGTTTTAAAACTTACAATACAAGCTACAACATCTAATCTGCCAACAGTAAATATCCAGACTATCAACTGGAGTAAGAAAGTCAAAAAAAAATATTATAGCTACTAAAGATCCAACAGTAAACTAATTTAACAGTATTCTAATAATATTCAATACAAAGACACAAGAAGAAGCTCCTTAAGAACCAATCACAAAGATACAAAAATTAGTACACATAGATAACTCAGATATGAAGATAGAGATAGAAAAAGATCAACAAGCCTTAACATCACATTGGCAATAAGTCAATGACAAGGGTAAATAGAAGTTAGATAGTCAAACCACTAAACAAAATTCTTTCCCTTTTAACAAAACTATTCACTATAGAAAAAAGAGAGCCAAAATCAGTATCCTTGCTGCAAACTTGCCAGGCAAAACTACAGCTCAGAAGATAACTTTTCTCATCAAGGTCCTAAACTCACCAGAAGAATTAATGACAATCTGAAGTGAAAAGAAAAAAGAGGCAAAATACATCATCATCATTTTAAGTAATAAACAAGAAGCAATCAAGATTTGCAACAATCCATTATTTAACATAGACAACAAATACATAGATCTCATAGAATACACAAATCCAGTCCTAAAACAGGAAAACAGTATCAAAGTATTAGTCATTCTTCTAAACATCAAACTCATAGAAATGCAATAATTCTTTGTCAAATATGTAGTAATTAACAATATTACAAAATTAACACAACAAATATGACAGATAGCAATAATCATCTATACAAATAAAGAGGATAAAGATATCCTAATCAATAGATAAAGTGTCACCCTTAAAGCAGACTCAATAAAAGTTTTCGATGTACAATAGAATGTGAATTAGATAAAAGCATATAATCAAATCACAGCAAAACTTATCAATCTTCTACTCAATATCACTGTATTTGACCTAAGATGAATATGTAAACAAATAAAGACTAAGACCTACTACATTCCAAGAAGAATATCATACTAAAGAAAGAGATTTGCAATTATTAGTTTTATCAGCCAGGAAGACTTAAAAGCTGTCACATCTCAAGAATTCCAACTTGGAGAATTTAAAACTGACAATCTATCAAAACAAAACTATAAATAATCTGTGACAGCCCAGATCACCTACTCAATGATTGCTTAATTAAAGAAAGAAGAACACAATGGAGGGAATACAATAAAGAACTTTGAAAAACTATATAATAAGTTCAGATTGACATGTACTACCTCAATTAGAATCAAATCAAAATCTTATAGTACTGCCATATCAAGTCAG